GATATGGGTTTTTTGACAGCCGATGCCGATATCTTGGAAAGCAGGGTGGCCGATATAATTTTATTTATTTTAATGTATATTTAAGAAATTTGATATCTTTTGAAAATGTATTAAATGATTGTGTAAAATAAACATGCTTATACTTTAGAAGACAAAGCATTTTTCACAAATAAATAAATATTTAATAAAAATAAAAAATAAATTAAAAAAAAGTAAACATTAACACTGTAATTAACAGGGCACTCAGTATTGAGTTTGTGTGCATTGGGAATCATATATATATATATATATATATATATATTTTTTTTTTTCACATAAAGCCAAGGTAACACTTATTTGACATACAGCACGCAATGAAAATGACATGAATATGACAGTGGGCAAATGCATAAAGTGCAGCTTAATTTGAAATTACTAGTTTAAAGTTTGTCGATCCTGCCAAACAGAAAAATGTATCGGCCGTAGTGCTGGGCGGTATGACCAAAAATTTATATCACGGTATTTTGGTATTTTTTTTTTCATGCATGACCGGGTGTTAACCATATTTTCTACTGATTGAGAGAGGAAATACTGCAGTATATTGACTTAGAATGCCCTATTTTACTGTCATGATGAGTGAATATTGTCAAAAAATACCACACTACATAGTGACTAAACACGACTCCTTTTAATACATGTTAACCAGGAGTCACTCATTTATAATCGTGGCATCGTCTGATAAAATCAACATGCATCTACACTAAAGAGCGGCTATGCGGTTGTTTTGGCTACATTACTTTTTTGTCTCATGCAGCGCACTGCCTGCATCCAAGTAACTAAAAAAAACAACAAACAAAAAAAGTACATATAATATTAACAGACGAACTACGCTCATATTTATAATTCCAAACAATCAGTAAGCGACAGGTGCTAGGAAACGCTGTTTTGTACTCATTTATTGACGAGATGGCTGCGGTGCGGCCAACTGAATTCGCTGCTTCTCTGCCGCTCACTGAACAGAACAGCACTAATCGTCCGATGCCGAAATTTGAAAAATTCCAAATATCGGCAGATATATCGCCTTGGTTTTAATTCCGTCGGGGGCGCTGTTGGCCTACTTCTAATAGAATGAAAGTAAAAAACACAAATAACATTTAGACTATGTTTCTGATTAAATAAATCAGTAATTGATGTCATAAAATCATGAGTATGTTTTGATTTAAAGGTCAGAAGCTATAGCTTACATGAAAACAATAAAAATCACAAACATGATACTTGTAAAATAAAAAATTGTATATATACTGATTTATTCATTAATGTGTAATATGTAATATTTTTTAAACAAATTATGATCTCTGAAATATTTTCAGAATTTTTACAACTCTTTTGCTTTAGACCATCTACAAATGTTAAATCTTAAAATAAAATGTTAAGGTTACTACTGCAAAATGCAGCGATTTATTTATAGTTAAAGAACTTCATTATTGTTTATTTAATTCAACAAATAAGTTCTTGTTAAAAACTAACCAAAATCAAAAATAATTTGCTTATAATTTCCACATAGGACAGACTTGGTCTCGTTTCCAAACAAAAGGAAATGTATCGGCCAAAATGAGTTCGAAAAATATCGGCATATCGGATATCGGCAAAAATCCAACCCTAGTTTTCATGTCAGATTTTTATTTTGAACATTCATTTTCATAACAGTCTTCAGATATTTTCATTATCTCCATTATAGCCATGCCCGCCCCCAAGTACTCAAGTACTCATTTTTGATACCTAACGATGATCGAAATGAGAAATTTCCCAAAATGGCCATCCCTAGATCAAACAAAGGGTTTTAACTAATTTGACAACAAAACCCCAAATTTTCCACCTTAAAATACTTGATTTATTTCAAACGAACAGTAAACTGGTAATTACACTATTTTTTATGTGCTGATTTCCAGAGTATGTTTTCATGTATTTCATGTATTTACCTTCGATTGATGGGGCCTGATCCTGGGCCGAGTACAACATTTCTTTAAAAGCCTGTGGAGAAGAAAAGAACATGAAACACCATTTCCAGAGGTCAGACAATTGACTTTCATATCACACAGCAGCATGTGACTGGCACTGCGCCTGTTCTATCTGACAAGGGAAGCCCTGTCAGGATGCAGACGGACTGAGACAGAAAGACATGAGTTTTTGAGTACAGAACAGGAAGTACTAAAACTAAAAGAAAGATAGAGGAAATGGCTGTTTTTAACTTTGTCCAAATCTAGAATTGGATATCCCCTCTGTAAGAAACACATCGTGTCCTTGAATCAGAAAAAATTAGGACAAAGCATTGGTTACAATAGATACAAGCGTAGGAGACTTTGAAGCATTTCCATATGGATGCACCATTCGACTCGCCAATATTAATTTTAAACCTGTGACCGGAGATTGACAAATAATACTACAATTCTGGGCCAATATATTTTTAAATTATAACACACAATTGCACACACATGTGCAGTCCAACTCTACTAAATGCTAGGGATGCTAGGGATTTTTTTTTGGCCGATACGATACAGATTTTAACAAACAACTATTGACCGATTCCGATACCGATATTGGTCAATTGCATAAAGCAGGGATTAAAAACTGAAAAAAGAAAATCTGTCAGTTCACTCCGAGCAGAATTGGTATTTGAATGTTTCTGTTCCTGTGTTCCACTGCATTATTACCGTTCCGAAACCGGTTTGAGTAGAAAAAATACTGGTTAATAACGTTATTTTTAAAACTTTTTCTTTGCTTATAATAATAATAATAATTATGAAGTACAGCGTTTTCTTCACTCAAAAAGAAAAAGAAAAAAAAACATGCAGGTCTTGATCTGGTAGCCTATCTTGCGCTTAGTCATAGCCAATACAGCATCATCTTTTCTAGATTTTGACCAAATGTATTATACAAAAGAAAATACTGTCAATGCTTTAAAGACATTAAAGTAGGCCTATTTTTTCAAGATATTTAAAAATGTTTGCAGCATGGATAAAAAAAACGATACTCCTATAAGCGTTTTGAGAGGAAAAAACAGCCTAAATTAGTAGGCGGTACGCCGCATTTTATTATTAATATATTATTATTTTATTATTAGCATTCAGAAATAATGTCGGCTAAAACACCGGTAAATAAAGCAAAATATTTACAAACACAATTAGGCTATGTTACTTCCCTTCTCTCCACAACAAATCCTCTAAAGTTGTAAGCCAAAACTAATTAATTTAAAAACGAAATTGAAGCCTACCTCTCTCATTCCGCACAAATTCAAATGTTCCATATTCACGACGTATCTGGAGGTGGTGGTTAGGCTGAACGGCACAGACTGTACTACGGACTATTTGAAATGGAGCAGTGTAACATTTTATGTATCTTTAACTATTTAATTTTCATAATGAACAGGCTGCAATGTCAAGTTAGCAAAAATATGTTGTATGTGCGTGTGAGTCGCTGACGCGATTCAAAACTGCAAAGCTTTTGCAAAATAAAGAAAATGGCTTTCCTTTCCATGAACTTCGGAGCGCGCGTTACAATGATCCAAACTCAGCACAATTTTTTGCTTTCGTTTTGTTAATCTGTTAATGATTTAAGTGAAATTTATTTAGTGTATAGGCCTATATATTCCTTTTTATGTAGCATATATAGTTTTATTCAATTTTCTCTGTTTACAGAAACGCTGCAGGAGCGTGATGTGAACTTGTGTGAATCCGTGTTCTACACGATCCTGCCATTTTTTCTGGTTTCAAACACACAAAAAGCTGCATATTACCTGCCATTCATTTTCACTTAAATGTAGGCCTAATGCTTAGTTGGCGGTTCGTGACATATCCTCAGATAAACTAACTCCAGGGCATTTCCATTGCGCCTTAACGTTACCTATGATGAATTTACAGCTGAGCGCGGGCGTTTCACTGGTTGGATGCATCAGCGTCACATTTGCATAGGTCATACTCTGTTGTCTGACAAACTATATTTTGTACAGATTTTTTGTTTTGGCAAGTATTTAATTATTTTGCAGAGAGAAAAATGTTGGATTATGCAACAGACATGCAACTCATTGTCTCCATGCAGTTAATTAATAAACCATCGGTATCTGCCCTTTTCATGCTATTTCCAATGTGCCGATGGCTTTAAAATAATCAAAAATCGGCCAATACATCGGTGCAACCCTACTAAATGCGTTAAAAAATAATAAAAAATTAATAAAAAAAAAAAAAAAAAAAAAAAAAAAAAATATATATATATATAAAATGTGTGTGAATTGTAATGTGACCATTTTCAAGAATAATCACTGCACAGATAGAGGCTGAGAAAAAAAAGAAACTGCACAATCATTAAAAAAACAAAACATAATTGTTGATTATTTCCCTTGATATTGTAATCACTATTATTAATGTTGGTTAACAGAATTCAAATTTACCAACAGAAATTAGAAATACAATTTTAATTTTTTTTTAAAGTGAGTGCAAAAAATTTGGGAAATGTCATGTCATATTCTTCACGTAGCTACAAATCCAACACAAACTGAGAAAGTTTATTGCCATTTTATGCGTCAATAAATCAAGACAGTGACGTTGCCATTGTTATCACTGTTAATTGTCGCAATTTTAGGAGTGTTCTCATGAAAACTCCTATTATAATAAATGTAGTCTTCTACACTACATGATGAATCCCTTATTTACATTGAATCTCTGGTTTTTGTTATCACTAGTGCCGTGTTCAAAATATCGATACGACGATGTATCGTCACAGTGATTTGACGATACGAGTATCGATACAGCTGGCCCTGTATCGATACTGTGGCATGTGTGCAGCAGTGGACCACGCTTAATTTTACAACGTTTAAAATTTAGTAGAAAAGTTCGAGGTTTCTAAAAAAGAATGAATATAAATCAACCATAAATCAGCCTTGAGCGTGTGTGCGTTAGATACAGTGCAGACAGCGCATTAGTTTAGAACTCTTCTAATTTTTTTATTGTAGAGAGTGTGTTAATTTGTGCAATGATAACCTGCCAGCAATGTAAATCATTTTTTTAACATATTAGAATGAGTACATTACAATATAAATTTATTAGAACAAGTACATTATTATTTATGGGCTTAAAAACAAGATGCAAACAATCAGAATATTGTACCTGGTGGGGAGTGCACAATGTAAACATGAAACATATGCCATTACCTATATTGTACTGTGGTACAGTTATGGAGGCCCTTCATAATGCAGAGGTCAACTGCCTGCTCTGTCAATAGTTAGAAATGGCACTATAGTATGCAGTGTTTAATAAACAGCTGTTTTTCTCAATTCTGCTGAGGTGAAATTCAGTGCAGTCATGTATCGTGATACGTATCGTATCGTATCGTGACTTTGCTGGTGATACACAGCCCTAGTTATCACTCATGGTCTTTGGCAGTGACAACAAAACTACTCATAACAGTTTTCTACATATGTATAAATAGTCATATTTCACAAAATGTAAATTTTTGCAATATACAGCTTTATAGAACCATGCATTATTTTTATTTTATATATAGCTTATAAAAGTAGCATGGGGCAGAGCTGTCATTGCGGTGTCAGCGTCAAATTTCCTGATTGGTGCACCACTAGTAATTATGACATGCGTCTAGCCACATCTTAGCACAAAAGTGCATAATCACCAGAAAACATATAAGGCTATTTTAAAAACATGTTAACTTACTATGACAAAAATTTGCTTTATTCGGTTGCATGCTTTGCATAAATATTAAGATTTAATTTAAAATGAAAAACTACAATGATATTGTGGAAAGAGGGGTATTTTATTCGCTTTTATGCATCACAATAGGTGAAAGGTCATACACATCCAGTGGAGAAGCACTGAGGAGTGAGAGGCAGGAACTTTGCCTGTGGAACTCAAATCAATAACAACCCATCAATATTTTGCTTGCCCTCTATCAGTTATCATGTCTCACTGTTACATCACAGAGAAAGAGAACACAACCCATGGAGAAAAAAAAAAGTCACCTGACCTCCATATTAAACAGAGCCAATCAAATTAGACAAGCTGGGCTACATTAAACTTATATTCACAAACAGTTCTCTGTATTATTACTGCACTGAGTATTTTTATGAAATGTTGTTTGAATAAAAAGTAAAAGATAAAAGAGATGAAATGTGAATAATTTTAAGTGTAGAACCACACTGAAATTCCTTACAGTGGGATTTCCTCCATGTTCAGCACAGTATTTGTCACTGACCTCAGCATGAACCTGAACGCTACTCCTGAACGCTACTCCTGAACTACAGCATTGTAATCAGAGCATGTGTGAAATGTCAGAGTTTTCTCTCACTCCAAGATCACTCTGAAACGGCTCCAGATTAAAAGCATTTTAATGCTAAATGCTATTAAATGTCAGTGTAAAATATCATCACAAAGAAAAAACAAAAGAAACCAAACATCTCATGTAACAAATATTTTCATTCCTTTCACATAGAAAAATCTGAAGATGGGCAATACACTCTTTGTCCTCTTCCAGATGACGGAAGATCATGATATAAAAATAAATATCTATTTTTATTTTTAAGTTAATTAAGTGCAACATCTGGGTATTTAAAGTGCACTTGATCTTTTATGGAATCTTCAGTATGAATTCTACGTTTACTACAAAATGGCACAGAATAGTGCATAAGCAAGCATGTAAATTGTGACACTTTCTCTTTCAAGATACTTGGCAGGTTTGGGTCAAAATTAAAATGATTAAAATTAAGTCTGTTAATGCGGTTCATCTGAATAAGTGTGAATGCTGCCATCTGAACTTTAGTGCACACCAAACAAGCCAACAGAGACCCCCTGAAAAGGGTAGTCGGGTTCAACTGAAATATTGATGCTAAGCGGACCAAAGATATAAAATGCAATGCACCAAAAACAGGACATCATATCACATAAAAAAAAAAAACTCCTGGGGACCCGCTGTCCTGCAGAGTTTACCTACAGCCCTAATCACATATAATCCAGTTAATCACGCACTTCAGCAACAGTTTTGGATGACCGGCAAGTTTGCAAAATATACTGCATGTCATAAAAGCTGTCCAAATAGGTTGTAATGTATCCTTGTGCCTTCAGTGTCCTATTTTTAGGATAGGTGTTAAAAATGACAGTGTGAATGCTAAGCGAATCAGGACTAAATGTATGATTTAATTTTTGTCCGGACCAAAAGAACCGAACTACAAGTGTAAACACATCCTAAGTGAAGAAAAGAAAATGAAATACCAAGAGTGGGAGCTGGAACAAAACAATTATAGAATGCTTTGACTGGTTAAATATCGCACACAAAAAAAAACTTTGTCCAACAAGTGATGACAAATTCACATGCAAATACAGTTCTGCAGTATACAGTACAACGCAGATTCTGAAGAAGCCTGTTGCAAAAACAGAATCCTGTAAGAAAACATGAGCTCAGAGGGACTGTGGCCTTGACAGCTGCATCGGGGATGTTTACTTGTTCTACCAGCAGGCCTGCACAGTTCTACACCCAGGCCAGCATACACCACATTTCCATGACTAAGAAAAAGGTCTTAAACTCTGAGGCAGCCTTGCCTTTAGTCTCGACTTTAGCATGCTTTTTTTGAAACGGTAAACATTTTTCTTCTCTTTCCGAGCGTCAGGAATCATGTGATAGCCCACTCAGAACACAAAAATCAGCAGAAACGCTCATATCTCTAAATAAGCTGACATCAGCTTTGTCAAGACTGTGTGACACGAAAGAAAGGTCACAGAACATAACAAATCAACACATTCATAGTGCCCAGTCATAGCGGGCAAAAATAAATGTGCTACCAAATAGAGTGGGGAAAAAAAATTATCCTCGAGATCAGAACTGATCTCTCCTCAAGGCAGGTGAGAGGGCATTATAAAGCCTAAGTGTGACAGAGAAAGCAAATCCGTCACCGGTTTATTTTCTGCTATCATTTATATTTGATTCAGCAATCCCTTACAAACACAATCCGCTGTGTACTACTCTCAAAAAGAGATGATGACTAATTAATTAGCAAATGTCCAAGGGGAAGGCAATAATCTCATTATGTGTAGGCCATTAAACCCTGAAGGAGCTGCAGTACACTAAAGCCCTGTCAACTCTAACCCAGTCCAGTGTCGAAGACAAAGAAAACTGCCTCGTATGCGCTCATGTGAAATAATGCAATTATGTAGCCTGATAAGCACTGCATTTTGAAGCTCTGCATCACCACCATATATGTTTGTTTTGAAGGAATGACCCCTACAGGTAATTACAGACCTGAAAAACAATGCAGATAAGGACTACATGGCAATGTGGGGGGGAAAAATACAATTGTATCACGCTGCCACTCCTAAATGTTCCATGTAAGCAATAAGTATTGATGAAAAAATGAGTGTGCTTGATTTTGGTCATTGCTATAAGCCTGATGAACTTGTTCACCCTGTAAATTCTCAAATATTAAGTTTTCCAACTCCTAAATCCTAAAATTAAGGAGGATACACTATTTGTATTCGAGATATGAATCAGAATTTAATATCCAAACTGACTGTTTAGAGATTTGTGTTCTCTAAACTGCATCCTGGAATTTGAGTTACATACCCATGTTGAATTTGACATTTTAATTTAGTCGTCTTATTGGTTTAGAATTTTTATTTAATAAACATATTAACAAAGCTGATCGTGAGCAGCGCGAAACATCTGGACTGATTCACCTCGCATCCCTGATGTTCATATACTTTAAACTCACACTAGCGTTAAAGCTATCAGCTGTTAGCTTTCAGTTACAGACTAACCCTGAACAGATATGACAGACATTAAATCACATAAATACAGATGTCTTTCGTTCAAAGTCTACAGTATAACGACAGATGACTGGTTTTAGACCGGTTTCGTGAGCTGAATGGAAGCTGTCTGAGGTAAAATAGCTCAAGGTTGCTTTTCTTCGGCTCTTACCTCATATTGAATGTATTGTTTCCTCCACTCCGGGGTGATGTGGGCAGACAGGTGCTCGGTAAACTTCATTTTTTTGAATATTTCGGGGTGCTTTTTGTCCGAGGAGAGTCTCGCGCTGCTGGAAAATTACCAGTGAATCATCGCGAGCTGTGAAATCACCCTCAGATTAACGGCTGTTTTCCGCTGCTCCGCGACATACATATTCAGGGCAAATATTGCGATATTTTCAAACAGCCGTCCCCGGTGTTTCTCATTATCCCTTCAGCTGTTTTTTCAAGTGCTGCGGGACGCTGGCAGCGGTGGTTTAGAGGGCTGAAGGAGCTCTTGACAGAGGTTTTCTCTGCCTGATATCTGAGGCTGAGGCTGAGGCTCCAGCAGCCGCCATCATTATCGGAGAATGACGTCACGGGCGCGTCACCACAGAGGATGTTTTCCAGCTCGCGGTGTGACCGCTCGTGCCTCTTAAAATAATTACTGTGAATTATAGACATGTGAAATCAAGGGCAGGCTATTTTTAACCCAACATGCCTAAAGGCAAAACGTTTCTCGTCGCACAAATGTGCATTTGAATTCGTGTCGTTATCATTGACAGAGTGACATGTTTAAGGCTGAAGGCTCAATCTACAAACCAGTGCTAGTGTCTGTGTTTTTCACCCACCTATTTCTCAGTTTTGTGTGTTAAAACTTTTGTATGTATGTTGGTGTGTATGCATATATGTATAATTTTATGTATGCAACCATTCATTCGTTATGCTTAAAGGCACAATATGTAAGATGTTTTTATTAAAATATCCAAAAACCACTAGAACAGTGTTATATATTTTGCTAACTTGTGTACTTACATTATCCCAGATGTTTCGAAGAATGTTTAAATCCAGAGAAATAAGCAATTTTAACTAGTGACACGGACCGTGTCCATAGTGTCGCCTGCCAATGACGTCTTAACCCCTCGATTTCCGGTTTTGTTTTGTAGAAAACATGGAAACACCAAAGACGCTTTAATATGTTGTGTGTTTTAATAGACTGGTGACGACCGCACAGAGTAGCATTATAACAGAACTTTCAAACGTATCTATTATGATAAAACCGCGCTGCTTTACCCCACATACGCACGACCGGAAGGAGCGGAAGCGCTAAAGTGTGGCATAATAAAAGCTCCGCTGCTTTCGAGCCGAGTGTCACTCTCGTTCCGCGGCTTCGTTTCACTTTGACGGCTTTCAGCCTCACCCTGCTGCATTCTGCTACGTTAATAAATCATTAGCTCGAGCCCCGGGATTGCATCTGCTGTGGGGGATGAAGACCACAACTCCCATGATTCCACACTCAGTCACTGCGTCATCAAACTACGCCTTTGTCTATTTGTTTATTTTGAATACGCCGCTCTCAAGCGGCGAAAATTACATATTATGCCTTTAAATTTGAGTTAAATATTGGTAAAAAGATCAAATGACACGAGACATGTAAATAGTTTCCAACATATTCCAATGTACTTTGACACTTCCCAGATTCCCTTCAAGATTTATCAACAAAGACACAATTATTTCAAAAGGCAATAAGATTATCATCATTTTGCTCCAATAAGTCAGCAAATATGTATATTTAATAAACAGTGACAACAACAGCAAAATGAACAGAAAGTACATTACTGTACATACAAAAGGAAAAGAGAGTATATTGAACAAAAAATAATAACAAAATAACATCCATTTAATTTTTAGAACATAATATTTCATATTTATATAGGTCAACATTTATGATTTTCTTATTTTTAATCTACACTGAAAAAGAAGGATATTGCTATTACATTTAGCTGAGCTTCCCTTACATGTCTGGGAATTGCTGAATGTGTGTGGGGAAAAGCTACATTTTCAATTAGTCATGGTATTCCATCAGTGTGCTGTGGATCTCCAGGAACGTGGGTCTTTCTTTGGCATTTCTCTTCCAGCAGCTGAGCATGAGGCTGTGCACTGAATCAGGACAGCAGTGTGGCTTCGGCAGATAGACCTGAGGGGTTCAAAATACAGCTCAGCAATGACACCTTTAGTTTTTGCCAAGTTATTGCATGGATTTTTCCTGACTCATCTTGCAGTGCCAGCTAATCTTAGGCACAAGGGGAAAACAAAGCATAAATATGTCAGTCCAAGAATTAAAAAAAATACACTGAAGTGCTGCAGAAATACTCTTTTTCAAACAGTAATCAAATGTAAATGTAAAAAAATATAAAAAAGAATTGTATATTTATATCTAAATACTAAAAGTAATAATACAATTGCATTTAAATTAACATAGTTAATTAACAATAAAATACAAAATATATGAAATATTAAACAAACAAAAAAAAATTTCTTTCCCATTTTTATTTTAAAAGGGACAATGCACAATTAACATGACTACTTAAGACCATCATGTTAATGTGCCAGATTTAACCATACAGGTCCATTTTAATCTGTAGTCCCTGGCAGGTTGATGGTAAAAAGTTCATAAGTACATAAACCATTAAAACGTTAATTAAATTAACATGTTCTTGAGCTAGTCATTTACAATGCACAAATAAAAAATATTTAGTACATAAATGAACATTAAAATCTAATAAAGTGTAAAATGACATATTTAAGCATTAAAGAAGGAATATTGTTATTAAATAAGTAGTGTTAATGAGATTTTTTTTTATTCTTGAGGTCTCTGGTGATTTCCTAGATCTTGTACGGTTTGAAAAGTAAAAATGTTGTCATAGATGAAGGTTATAATTGTTGCATGCTCAAGTCTCACCTGTTTGTTTTGGTCTCTAAAAAACTCGCCCGTGTTTTCGATCACCTGTTCATCTGTGAACTGGGCATACGGCTGCTCTTTACACAGGGTCAGAATCTCCCACAGGGTCACTCCAAATGCCCACACGTCACTGGCCATGGTGAACTTGCCCTGTAGAAACACAGATGGTCAAAATGATAGAGCAGCATGTGAGTTTGTGGCCCCACAAATTTGACTCCAGAAAGACATACCAGTAGGATGCTTTCCCAGGACATCCAGCGGATGGGGAGCACTGCTCGTCCCTGTATGCGGTAGTAATCTCCACGATACAGGTTGCGGCTCATGCCGAAGTCGGCGATCTTGATGGTGTTATTTGTACCCACTAAACAGTTGCGTGTAGCGAGATCACGGTGAACGAAATGCAGGGAGGACAGATACTTCATTCCCGAGGAAATCTGAGAGGCCATGCGGATCAATATGCTGTAGCTGCAGAGAAAAAAAAATGCATTTATAATATTTTATCCTAAAGTTTGGTCTGTTCATTAAACAAAACTTTCATATAGCTTTAGGAGACGCTGAATATAGCACTGAAGTCAAAGAAACAAACTTTTGAGAGGAGCGTCTGCATTTGTTTTATTGATCTCTAAGCAAAAATCAAGGTTTCCTCTTTAAACCTGATTTGTGCAGTTTGTGTAAAAGCAGATAACACTCCCCATAGTGTTGATTTGCAGAACGCATACTGGCTAGTTTACAGACTGCAGAAATTATTATGGGATTAATTCATTTTTCTGTGTTTTTTTTCTTAACAGAAAAGAGGACATTTACTATTATTATTATATTATAAAGATGATGCATATGATGTAAGACATCATACTTAAAAAAAAGAGTAATAGAAAATAGGACGCACTATATTGCAGGGTTGGAAATTAATGGGGGCTTGGGCAAAAATGCTACCAAAATGAACAAAAATGCCCCACAAATTCAAGATAAATGGGGCAAAAAGTGCCCCTACACAATTAAACAATTGATTGCGACTGTTGCGTTAAAAACGAATTGTGAAAATTAATGAAAAGTGTCTATTTGTGGAATTACATTTTGATTCACTCACACTGCAGCAAATTCCTTTCACACTTTTTTTTTTTTGCAGTGTTAAAGGGATAGTTCACCCAAAAATGAAAATGTGATGTTTATCTGCTTACCCCCAGGGCATCCAAGATGTAGGTGACTTTGTTTCTTCAGTAGAACACATATGATGATTTTAAACACAAACCGTTGCAGTCTATCAGTCGTATAATGCATGGCAATGGTAACAAAATCTATGAGAGTAAAAAAAACATGCACAGACAAATCCAACGAAGATTATGTTCTCTCGCACGAACTCATTCGGGAGTGGTGACTTTCCACGTATTCCCAACTTCTGAGCCTGCTCGCCTGAAGTTATGGTTGATTGCTCTTCGGCTGGATATCAACACACCCATTAACGTAAACTACACCAGAGCGCGTACACATCTCACGCACCGGATGCCGTGCGCGCGCCCAAAGACAGTTGGACATAGTGGACTATTAGAGGTAAAAAATTATGTAAATACTGTTTGGTTTCTGGCACAAACCGATCGTTTCGTGTCTTAGGACATCAATGTGCCGTCACGAGTCGCAGGGGGGAATTTGGATTTGTCTGTGCATGTTTTTTTTACTCTCATAGATTTTGTTACCATTGCCATGCATTATACGACTGATAGACTGCAACGGTTGGAGTTAAAAATCATCAAATGTGTTCTACTGAAGAAACAAAGTCACCTACATCTTGGATGCCCTGGGGGTAAGCAGATAAACATCACATTTTCATTTTTGGGTGAACTATCCCTTTAAGCCTTATGACCAATCACGCGCATTTCTGTTGATCTTAGGAATGCAATGGCCAATCAGAGACAATTGGATTAGTCAGCGCTGAAAACTCTAGAGTTGTTGTTGAGAATGCGCGCTCACTGATTGAATAGCTTGTGAATTCCCTCATCATAAACAACAAAGTGCCAGTAAGATGTAAATGAAATATTAATTTCATAGCTTGAGTGATTATGACAGAGTTTTTGCACTAGACTAGACTAACATCACGGACCAACATGTTTGTCTGTGAAGCCAGAGCCAGAATATATGAAGAGCCGTTTCCCCAAAACACAGACACAAAAAGCAAAAAAGTTTTATATGTATTCTATTAATCGACATTAATAATCATTATTACAATATCAAGAGCAATAATTGACGATTTTTGTCATAATATTACAGCCATATTAGCTCCTATTTTTTTAAACGTATAATTTAGAAACAGTTTTAAACAGTCAATTGTTATTGTCATAAAGTATTTTGATTGATTGAAGTAGGTGGTTAAATTTGACATTAATTGTCCTCACAAATGTAAAATTTCTGACCCTGCTACTGTATATTGTATTAATATAAAGGAATTTTCTATATTTATTTTTACAAATTCTACTCTCATATTATTGCTAATTTAGCTTTTGTTTAAGATGACATTAAGTGTTAAAAAGCCCCCAAAATATTATACATTAAGTAACATTTTGGCTTGAGTCTAAAGAAAATACAGTATATTTATTATTTTTGTTATAATAATAATAATATAATAATAAACATCAAATAAACTACTTTGTATGAAAGAAATTAGTTAATTTAATGTTTGAATCCAACCATAAATATAATTTAAGAAAAACAATAAATTTGGCTATATCAAATTATTATTATTATTTTTTTACTTCCTGGAGATAAGGGCATGTTGACCACTGTGACGCGGTAACTGTGGGCACCAGCGGCTTCCTGCTGGCTCACGATATCTGCCTCTGCGTAGTGTGGGGCCTCATCTGTAGGGTGGGTCGTAGAGGGTTCGGAAGGGGCATCGATCATTGCTGTAACACAACCATATTAACATAGATATGTTATGTTGTTAAAGGTATAGTTCACACAAAAATCTAAAATCTGTCATCATGTCATTCTAAACTTCATTTCAGAATTAATACAGTTATTTTTTGTTAATATGCATTTACTTGGGAAATACAGAAGGATACATCACTGGGGTGATAAGAGTTTTAAATGTATCTTATGCTTACCAAGACAGCATTTATTTGATAAGAAATACAGTAAAAACAGTAATATTATTACAATTTAAAATAACTTTTCTATTTCAGTTTTTTTAATGTAATTTATTCCTCTGATAGTGTCACAGTCATCTGCTGGAGTGCCCACTCCTCTCAGATCATTGCCCAGTGCTTGTGGACTTCAGTTCCCATCATCCCTTGCTCTGATTATTGGTCCATTACTCTCAGCTGCATGTGATTTGAGATACTTAGCTCACCTTTATTATACCCTGCGGTCTGTGTCATTGGTTGCTGCAGTATTGTTTTTGTTACTTCGTGTTTGTGGATTACCTTGTGCAATGTTGTCTGCTTTTTTGCCTTGATGTGGATTACTGTTTTGGGACTATAGTAAAGTACTGGCATAAAGTTGGCTTGACGTTGCACTTTCGATATTCGCAAATTTAGGGACCTTCTCTAAAGTTGCATGCGATATTGGTATACACTTTTCTAACTTCAATAGCATTTGAGGAGAATGACTTACAGTCCTAAAAACAACTGTAAACTGTTCATCTAGGTGTCAACTATAATGCACACCTTTTACATTTTTGATATTTGTTAAAATAAACTGTAAATCATATGTAAAATATGCCACTTTTTCACACCCGTTTTTCACATCCAAAAATAGCGTTTTTACATATGATTTAGTGTTTATTTTAATAAATATCAAAAATGTAAAAGGTGTGCATTATACTTGACACCTAGATGAACAGTTTACAGTTTGTTTTATGACTGCAAGTCATTCTCCTCAAATGCTATTGAGCTTAAAATTTGCGTTTGAGCCCATTCGGTACTGAAAAATTGATTTTTTTAAACAAATTATTTACAGTTTATTTTAATAAATATAAAAAATGTAAAAAGTGTGCATTATAGTTGACACATAGATGAACAGTTTACAGTTTGTTTTATGACTGCAAGTCATTCTGCTCAAATGCTATTCAGCATTAAATTATGGCATATTTTGCATTTGAGCCCATTCGGTAGAGAAAAATAGCAATTTTTATATATGATTTACAGTTTATTTTAATAAATATGAAAAATGTAAAAGGTGTGCATTATAGTTGACACCTAGATGAACAGTTTGCAGTTGTTTTTATGACTGTAAGTCATTCTCCTCAAATGCTATTGATGTTAGAAAAGTGTATACCAATATCACATGCAACTTTAGAGACGGTCCCTAAATTTGCGAATATCGAACATCCAACATCAAGCCAACTTTATGCCAGTTAATAAAGTTGCTATTGGATCTTCAATGTTACCTAAAGAGCATTCCGTGACACAATACTGCAGCCATTTCAAGATCCAGCCGTTTTGGAGTATTGTATACTTTGTGCAGACATTTTTGGCTTTTGCTTTGGGGCTAGAGTATAATGAGGCAGCGCTCAAGGATCTTTTTAATGTGTGCCTGGATGACCCTCTGCGGGAGTTGGAGGGACTTAGGTTCCTTGACTTTCGTCAGATTTCTCCGTCTTCATAGCCAGTGTTTAACACCAGATCATTCAGAACCTGCCGCAGAGGAAGTAGTTCCAGAGTCTGCTCTTGAGGAGGCTGTTCCAGCGTCCCTTCATAGGTTGGCCGCCAACCCAGAGTTCCTTCACAAGATGGCCGCCATGCCAGAGCACCAGCCGTGAAGTGGCTAAGTATGGTGTCCCATACTCGGAATTTGTGCTCTGCATTTAACACATCTAAGTGCACACACACCCGGAGCAGTGGGCAGCCAATGCTGCGGCACCCGGGGACCAGTTGGGGGTTCGGTGCCTTGCTCAAGGTTTTCACCTCATTCGTGGAATTGAAGGTGAAGAGAGCGCTGGTTATTCACTCCCCCCCACCAACAATCCCTGCCGGACCTGAGACTCGATCCTGTGACCTTCGGGTTACACGTCCGACTCTCTATCCATTAGGCCACGACTGCCCCAAATGGATGTCATGGATGTCGTCTGAAGCCTTCACGGATGCCACTCCTGTGTTCTCGGTCATCGTGAATCGTTCCCGCAGCTGGTATCTTAAGGGCCTAGTACTGGTTGTCACAGAGACCATTCCATTCCATGAATCCAATCCAGAGCCCGCTCCAGTCCAAGAGCCCTCAGAGTCCACTTCAGAACCTGCTCCAGTCTATTGCCTTGTCCAAATACCCACACTTGCGGTCTTTGCACTTGACCACTTGACAACATATGTGACATATTTCCTGTATTTGGCCCAAGTGTTCAAGTGAGGATGAAGACCGCAAGTGTGTGGTGAACTTTTCATTACCTGATGGGACACACTTATAGTGTTGTAAAAATGCAAATGTTTACATAGCTTAATTTCAATTTTTAAATACTTTGCATTTTAAAATCAACTTTTAAATGTCTGTTCAGTAGTCCCTATAACATGACATAATTTTAATTTGTGGTGCTTCTAATTAAGAGATAAAAAGCAGTTGCAAATTTTGTACAAAATAAATATTACCACTACTCATCTTTGCACCAATAAAACGTAAAAACACAGTTTTTCTACCAAATTATATGTAATATCTAATTATTATATTAATATTTAACTTGCATTGGAAAGGTTTCCGTGACCTCTCGCGAGATCTCGGCAAAAAGTCTCACGATTTATTTCCAGAACATGATGCATGATGGGATACATTAAGCCTCGAATAGCGCTCCGGAGATAGTGTGGATTCAGTGTGTATTAAGGGCACTGCACTTTGGCGTTTTTAAGACCTGGGACAGTCTTGCGCACTTCCTGTCGCGCTCAAGTGGCCAAGATCGCAAGTGTGGGTATTTGGTCAAGGCATATGAATCTGCTCCTGAGCTCACTCAAGTCTACGAGTTCATTCCAGAGCTCGCTCTGGTTTACGAGTCCACTCAGGTCTACGAGTTCACTCCTGAGCCTGCTCCAGTGCATGAATCCACTCCTGAGCTCACTTAAGTCTACGAGTTCATTCCAGAGTTCATTCCCATCTATGAGTCCGCTCCAGAGCCCACTCAAGTTTGAGTTCCCTCCTGAGCTCATTCCAGTCCAGGAGTCCATTCCTGAGCCTACTCTACTTGTGTCTTGTGTGGTTGCTGCAGTGTTGCTTCTGTTACTTCGAGTTTGCTGGTTCTGTGTTTGTGGTTAAGCTTGTGCAATGTTTTCTTGCTTTTTTGCCTTGATGTGTATTACTGTTTTGAAACCATAATAAAGTTTCTGTTGGATCTTCAATATTGCCTCGAGCATTCCGTGACCAATTGCAAAGCTGAATTTTCTTAAGTCTTCAGTATCACATGATCAGACATTTTTTTAATTCACTGATTTGGTGCTCAAGAAACAATCTGTTGTCAGTGTTGAAGTTGTGGAAACTGAAGCTTTTTTCAGGATTCTGATGAACTTAAAGTTAAATAGGAGCAGGTGTATTTACTGTAACTTTATACGTTCTTGCTTAAATTATGCATTTCTTTCCAATAAATAAAAATCTTGCTGACTTCAAACAGTGCAATTTTTCAAGAATCTTATCCGAGCTGTTTGCATAAAACTAGTCCATACTTCAACTCTTTATATAGCTTTGTGTGACAAAGAGGCAACAATTTAAGTTGTTATTCATTGATAATCTTCTTCAATGACAGTTTTTAAAACCAATATGGTGACAGGATTGAGAAAAACAGAAGTCCACTTTGATATCCAATGTCACATAATACATTGAAAGGAGACATATTTGAAATGAAAGTTATAGCAGATGAAAAGATTGTCAGTGAATAATGCCCTTAATTTCAGGCTGTTCATCAAAGAGTTATTTCATATGGCTGTCTTGGTGTTAATTTCTCCAGACAGACTAAGTTACTATAAACTCCTGTAAACTGGGTTTGGAATGACATGAGGATGGGTAAATATTGAGCAGCCCTACCAAGGTTTTCCGTAGCCTGGAATTCTGGTAGTTTCCGTAAAAGTAGTGATGGTTCCTGATAGTCAGATCCCATGGGGAAAATTCGTTCATATGTGGAATTGGACTCAACATCGCTGGACAGAGAGGAGTGACGGTGGGTGAAGGCCTCTCTCTGAACAGACAGACGCGTGGTCAGCTCATCATCCAACATACGCTGAGAGGCCTTCAGCAAAATGTGATACATAACATGCTACATTGATAACCACAAACTGACAGCAGGGTTATTATAGTTAACAAAAACTAAAACCATTAAAAAAACTGCAGGCTTCAAACTCGAGTTGATGATTGTTGTCTCTGAAGTTGATGTTGAAGGTAATAATCTTACCTTCTCAATCATCTTCTGCCACACCTGTCGCCAAAGTATGATTATTATAATGGCCAACAGAATGACAATAATGGCCACCAAGCAGCCTATCAGGATCCTTGTGCTGCTGTCATCGATTTTGTGGGTGGGATCATCACCTGCCGAAAGTTCAGAGTAGGAAATACAATACAATATTTGTTATGTTTTACAGAATCAAAATCTTGTTTATGTTTTCTGTGAAATTACATAATTTCAAAGTGAAAAAAGTGACATGACATGTGGCCAAGTATGGTAGACCCATACTCAGAATCAGTGCTCTGCATTTACCCATCCAAAGTGCACACACACAGCAGTGAACACACACACACACAAACCGTGAACACACACCCGGAGCAGTGGGCAGCCATTTATGCTGCAGCGCCCAGGGAGCAGTTGGGGGTACGGTGCCTTGCTCAAGGGCACCTCAGTTGTGGTATTGAAGGTGGGAGAGAGTACTGTACATTCACTCCTCCCACCTACAATCCCTGCCGGTACGAGACTCAAACCCACAACCTTTCAGTTATGAGGCCGACTCTCAAACCATTAGGCCACGACTTCCATTTCAATGCAATATTGAGCAGTGCGATGCTTCTATCAAAAAAGCGCTTGCTCAAGGGCACCTCAGTTGTGGTATTGAAGGTGGGAGAGAGTACTGTACATTCACTCACCCACCTACAATCCCTGCCGGTACAAGACTCAAACCCACAACCTTTCAGTTATGAGGCCGACTCTCAAACCATTAGGCCACGACTTCCATTTCAATGCAATATTGAGCAGTGCGATGCTTCTATCAAAAAAGCGACTGGCACTTTTCACTGTGGATGGGACTGCAGTCACCATAATGAGAGTTATGATTTCTCCCATTCATATAGCCTATAGTGAAAATATTCACACCCCATTTTTTTCTTTTTCTTTTTTCTTTTTTACATTTTATTATGTTGCAGCATAATTACAAAAATCTTCAAATTATTATTTTTCATAAAACTCTAAAAGCCATACCAATCTATTAGTCTCTAAAAATATATTTTATGTGTCTAACTGTGAAATTCATAAGGCCACTGCATGAAGTAATGAACAACAGGCGGCACTGTTGCCTGCAAATTTATACTGTAAAATCATATAGCAACCAATTGGCACTGTGTGAGAGCAGATATTTATTCACAAATAATTCTGTATTGTATCTAAAATAAATATAACATTTACCTGGGTGAATCCCTGGAGTTTGATTACGTTTACGAGGAACAAGAGAGGTGTTGTACACTGCTGTATCTGAAAGGTGAATTTGGGTGAAAGGCATTTTGAACGGCAGAGGTACTGTATTTTTAGTAAGCTATTAATATGCTAAAATGAATCATGAAAAAGTGAACAGATAAGAAAAGGAGTGCTGGAGATGAAAGAAAGAACATGCAGCGTGATTAAACCACTATTACCTGACTGGAAAGCAATTTCACTGAACATCATCCAGATGTAATTGAATGCAAAACGGCACCTAATTGTGCTGGCCATGCGGTTGCCAAGGGCAACCGTGACAAACCGAGCACTTGGACTGATGTTGTCTGCTTTCGGCTTGAAAACCATAGGATTGGGCTCCCAGTCTGAATCCGTACGGAAGTAACAAACGGCCTGTCGAAACATTTTTACTCCCCATGTGTACATGTTGTTACAATGGACCTATTGAAACAGAAGGTTATGCAGCAATACAAAATAATTAATTAATAATTATAATAATAGCATATATGTTACCCCTTGTGAATAAAGTAGTAGACCTACAATTGAATGCACTTTTTAAAATATTATGGAAAAAAAAGTATGAACCTATATAATTCATTGCTTCTATTGTCTTTTGAAATTAAAATGTACTGTCTAATATACTGACAAGTATTTGTTAAACAAAAATATAATTGAATGTCCTTTTTACTAAGACTTGTCATGTATTTAAGTATATTTGCAAATACAAATTTGTAATGAAGTTGCAATTTTGTTCATTTAAAATATAACTTTACATGTTATAATAAAGAACACTAAGTTAAAATTATATTATATTATTATTAAACTGATATTACACTATTATCAAGAACTTCACATGTTTAGTTTTAACACATTAAAATAAATGTATAAAAGATTATTAAAACAATGATTTAAAGCATTTAATTTGACATTATTACAAAGATCACATTTTAAAAACTGTCTATAATAATATATTCAATGCCATATATATATATAATATGCAAGTATTTTTTAAAAATATATAATATAATATAATATTTTTTAATATAATTAATATATTTAATATTATTTAATATATAAGATTTGAGGAACACTACAAGTGCACATTCAGTACAATTAAGCACACTTCTTTTTCACAAGGGACATGTAGACACAGATGTATTTCAGACGAACCTTCATTGACGTGAAATTTCTGACGCGGTCAAACTCAAATGTCATCTCCACCGAGCCACCAGGGAAACTAGAATTGATCCAGCCCACATAGTCATAGCCAGGCCAGACCCCATACACCTGGCTTTTGGTGAAGTCATCTAAACCCCAGCTTCCATCAGTGAGCTGTCCAAGGCCTTCTGTCATGCTGGGAGAAAACCTTGTTTCATTTAAGTGAATGAAGTGGTGATATTTACGTGTGTGATGCTTTACCTGTAACTAATGGCTCCATCATACACAGTGTCATTTAAGTAGATTTGTTGGCCTCTGAAAGACATCTGCTGGCCAGCAGGGGCGCTGTAGGACACAAGACCATCTGCACCAATGATGAGAGGTAAAGTCACCCAAAAATGAACATTTTGTACCAAATCGATATGAATAATGATGTGCTCACTCCTTTCCATACAAATACATCTAATGGGGATTGCAGCTTTCAAGTGAGCCACCAGGGAAACTAGAATTGATCCAGCCCACATAGTCATAGCCAGGCCAGACCCCGTACACCTGGCTTTTGGTGAAGTCATCTAAACCCCAGCTTCCATCAGTGAGCTGTCCAAGGCCTTCTGTCATGCTGGGAGAAAACCTTGTTGTTTCATTTAAGTGAATGAAGTGGTGATATTTACGTGTGTGATGCTTTACCTGTAACTAATGGCTCCATCATACACAGTGTCATTTAAGTAGATTTGTTGGCCTCTGATAGACATCTGCTGGCCAGCAGGGGCGCTGTAGGACACAAGACCATCTGCAGCAATGATGAGAGGTAAAGTCACCCAAAAATGAACATTTTGTACCAAATCGATATGAATAATGATGTGCTCACTCCTTTCCATACAAATACATCTAATGGGGATTGCAGCTTTCAAGCTTGCAAAAACGAGCTTGCAAAAATTGCAAATTTTCTTTATAGGGATAAACATTATCATTATCATATTATAGGAGGAAATATCAGTGGGAAATACAGAAACAGATAAATACAGATGTGTCAATCAATCCATCCATCCATCCATCCATCCATCCATCCATCCATCCATCCATCCATCTATCTATCTATCTATCTATCTATCTATCTATCTATCTATCTATCTATCTATCTATCTATCTATCATTTATTATTTTGTCTGCCAAGATAATAAAATCTTGATCACATTTATTTATGTATTTTAATTTATCCTCATATTTCCATTCATTTATTATTTTTTATTTATTATTTAACACTATTTGCATCATTTATTTATTGATTGGCTTTTTTATAGCGACTTAATATCTCCCCCCCATCTACCTTTTTTACAGTTAGTTTTAATTAGCCATTGCCATAAAAGTATTATAAAACCAGTCCATACAGCTCATGAGTTATACGATTGCTTTGTGTGGGAAACAGACCAAAGTTTAAGTTGTTATTCACTGAACGTCTTGACATTCTGGAGGAATCAAAGTCAATGAAACGACATAAGGCTGAGTAAATGATTCAATGACTATTCCTAAAGAGGCTGAATCAATCCCATAAAGGCTTGAAACATATTCTACTTCACTATGTCAATGCAAAAAGACATTTTAGGTAACTATTATCACATTGAGGTTTGTTAATGCTACAGTCTGCATTTGAGCACTTGCATGAAATATGTTTTATAGTTTACCGAGCCATTCACAGCCGTAGAGCTCCACCCTCATACACACAATCATAGAGGGGTCAGTCACAGGCATGAAACGCACAAAACGAGCAATAATGGGAGGCTCCAGGTCCTTAAGCACAACATCATAGGCGTTACTGTTCCCTTCAATGATCTAAAAAGATAAATAAGGATGAGAACACACAAAGAATGAACTCATAGTTCACAATGAACTCATTTCACAATCCTCATCATTCTTAGAGGCCTAAAGGTAAAGTCCCCCCAAAATGAAAGTTCTGTCAATTCAAAACCAACGGAGGCCCTACATGGAGACAGATATGTGAAAAAAGTATTGCATGGCCACAAGAAACTTTCCAGTCATTCTCAAAACCTTTGAGATCTCTTGCAAAATGACTGCATTTTCTTGAGAAACTTTTTCTTCCAACCTCATATTATTTATGCCACAAAAGTTTTGTGAGTGAACGCAAAGATTCTTGGGGGAGTGCAAAAGCACTGAAATATAATTTTCCCCCCCCATCACCCTGTCCCCTCAGGGGCTCAATACAAACCAGTTTGACTTTCTTTCTTCTGCATAACACAAAAGATGAGATTCTGAAGAATGCTGGGGTCCAAATGACATTGAGTCTCATTGACTTTCATTGTATGGAAAGAAAATCAACTGAAACATTTTTTGAAAAGAAAGTGGCACAGGTTTGAAACATTATGACGGTGGTAAAGTGATGACAGAATTGAAACTTATCAACAAATCAAAACAAAGATCTCAGTCTCCATCATCTCACCTGTCGACCTTGCCGGTCACGCCAGGAGACCCAGCGTGTGCCGTCCCGGCTGTATTTAACCTTGTATCGCTGGGCAAACTCATTGCCCACTCCATCTGCGTGCCGTCCCTGCGTGCCAACAAGAGTGACAAAATGGAGGGTGCGAAGGTCAATCTGCAGAAATTCCTTTAGATTGTCTGGTTCAGCCATGACATCTGGACACCACGCTCCATCTCCATCATCAAAATCCAATCTGAAAAATAGAGGGATATGGTGGAGAAAATCAGTTCTATTATTAGTGTAATAGGATCAGTTGTGTGATCAGTGTGTTAAATGTACCTGCCATATCGAGCTGCGGTGGACTCTGACCACTGGCTGGAAGCAGAAATATCTTCATCCTGAATTTGGCCTCCAGTCATCCCCAGTGGGTACCTACACACAGCTATCACATGAAGAAATTTAGGAAGGTTATATGACACATATTGCACAGGCACAGACATTTATTAAAATTATGTGCGTTGACACAAAAGTGAGAATATCCATTATCTGTTAATGAGTCTGTAAATTGTAAGGATTATGGATGTTACTCGTTTGCCATTTAACAAATGGAGCAATAACATGACAATTTTTCTTGTTCAGATCAATTAATTTATTCAAAAATACATACAAAATTAATTCATATAATGACTTGAATTAATTTCAATAATTTTCTATAATTTTTATAATTAACATGTTTTAATTTCTGAATTAAAATAGGGTGCATAAAAGAAACGATGATACAACAATCCGGATATCTCAATTAAAAATTAAACCATATGATAAAAAGATGCAATAAAAAATAATAATAAATAAAAAGATGTTAAAAAAAGACACTAAGAAGTCTGGTGTAATATTTTAGTACACACACACAAACTATAGTGTTCAAAAGTTCGGGGTCAATAAAAGTATTTATTTATGTATTTAATTTGAAAGAAATTAATACTTTTATTCATCAAGAATCCATTAAACTGGCCAAAAGTGACAACAAAGACATTTATGATGTAATAAAAGATTTCTTTTCAGGGAAAAATTCTGAGAGAGAGAGAGAAAAATCCATGGTTTCCACAAAAAGTATTAAGCAACACAACTGTCAGCATTGATAATAATATTAAGAAATGTTTCTTGAGCAGCAATCAGCATACTAGAATGATATCTGAAGGATCATGTGACACTGAAGACTGGAGTAATGATGCTGAAAAATTCAGCTTTAGGAATAGATTACATTAAAATGGAAAACAGTTTTAAATGGTTATAATATTTCACACTACTGTATTTTTTGATCAAATAAATTCAGCCTTGGTGAGCATAAGAGACAGATTACTGCCACAGTAATGTAATAGCAGACATTCATTGAAGGTGAAATGATCCTAGGTTCTCAGTTTCTATGTTCTTGGGACTGAACCGATCATCTGTGTTTATATCCTAGAGCTTAAGCATGAGGCTGCCACCACTCCAGAAACTGAAACAGCAGACGAAGCTTCACTACACAGTAGGTGGCATTGTGCCGCAGGAGCTAGACTCCGTATTTTTGCTCCAGGGAGGTTGTGCGAATAGGTGGAATCCACACCTCATAAGCAAATACCCAAAATACCACTCAACCTCATCCGTGAGGCCTCAGCTGAAACAGAGAGACTTTTATGTTCATTCCAGGACATGCTCAGGACATTCTCACCTTCGTGAAGTTATTTCTCTTTAAAAAGTAGGTAGAAAAACAGTTGCTGCAAAGTTGATGAATGATCCATCATTATTATTTGTTACATATTTACCAGAAAACACAGAACATTCTCCAATTCCTAACATTATAGAAACGTTCTCTTTAGATTATGTTTTCTGTAAACAGAGTCTAAACAGAATCCATAAACTATCAATCTCAGAATGTTCTGGGAATCAAACATTTTTAAAGACAATTTTTTTTTTTGCGATTTTCGTTCCCTGGCAGTAACTTTCCAGCAGCGTAAGGATAAATAGACTCCACTGTAGAGGAGTACAAACTGGAAAACTCAGTCACCCAGTGAATTAATACTTCCCATCTCTCTAAATTTGATTTGTTAGCCTTGGCAGACGAAACAGACTCTGGACCCCCAGCATAGTTTCCTCTCTGACACTACCTAGTGTCAATGACATGCCTGTTTTCAGCTGTCTGCTCAAGTGATCACCATTTTAACAGTAAAAGACGTTCATTTGTTACTGATGATTTCCCTTAGTGTATACAGTGAAAAACTGTAATAGATCTAATGGGACACTTCATGTTATGATACTGTTAAATTGACAGTTTTGGAAGTGAAAAAGAAAAAAGCATCTTATAATTTGTGATGAAAAACCTGTTTGACAGCTCACATGGGTTTTCATTGAAATAACTAAGCTTCTTGTCAGCTGCACTTTTTGTCATCTGTTATGTACATTGGGGCTGTATGTTACATTTTACGCTGTTATTTAATATTTATTGCATTATTTTAGTGTCATGTGTGTTACCATGATGGTTTTTTTGTATTTGTACGACACTCTGCACCTGTTTTTTGGTGGTTGTCAGTGCAATATGAAGGTACAAAAAAGGATATTTTAGTATCTCAGTTGGCATATTAGCGTTACTGTATATCAGTTCATAAAACATATGCGTTTTGTTACTGTAAATAGAAATTAATTTCATAAAACCTAAAATGCTGCTAACATATATTTTTTACAGTAAAGTTATGACAACCACAGCTGCCGTTTCTTTTTTTTCCTTTTTTTTACCTTAAATTGTACTTTTTTCTTTCTTTCTTTTTTTTTTTTTACAGGGCATCTGACCAAGTCTTATCATCAGATCCTTTGAATTCAGATGTAATTTCCACTTGTAATTCTCTTTATTCCGAAAACGTTTTGCACTTGGCGCTTCCTTTGCACGATTCTACATTTCTGAATCTCTGTGAGCTTTTGCCAGTATTTTTGTGTGGAGGTCTTTTTCCCCTCTTGTATTAATTTTTAAGGCACACATTGGCATGAGGCTAACTGCAGTGAACCTGATGCTTACCCAACTTCTCCTAAAGGCTATATAACAAAATTACTTGACATGAATTTGCACTATATAATATTATGACTCAAAAGCTGTTCCTCGTTTGATTTGTGAATTATATTAATTATGCTTCATTCCTCTCACCTGGGTTGACCTGTGACTTCACGGCTCCAACCAGGAGAAATATACACATATAAATATATATATATAGTTAGTAAAAATATATATACTAAACAACTGACAATTAAATATTAGATCAATAAATTACTGCCAAATAGCTATTTGGTGGATATCTTTACCAAATTGTGCTCAGTAAATTAATCATTTCAAAACGAAAAATCTGTTTGCTTAACAAGTCCTACATCCAAGGAAATTTGCATGTGCACAGGTATATATTATTTAACTGTAGTTTAACCATTTGTAGAAGTATTTGTAGTAAAACTGTGGTTATACAAATGGTAATCAATATGCCAAAAGACCATGGTTACTACACTTTTACTACAATAAAACCATGGGTAATTTTCATAAGGGCAGTTTGACAGTTTAACATCTGAGCCTCTGTTACTAATTAGAAAAGGTCACTTAGAACTAGTAACTAAGTAACGTTGAGTTGTATTGAAAGCTTATTGTATTACTGTATTAAAAGCTCACTGTATAGAGTAATGAGAGAGAAAGAGATGGACTGAGCGAGTGTAATTGCCTGCATCTGATACAGTATTCATTCTTCAGCCTCAATCTCATATTCACAATAAAACATTAGTTAAAATGGAAAGCGATATCTTTGTCGTACTATCCTTTCTTGTTTCCTCTGTTAAAGGTGATTTCCATTGACAGCGCTGCTCAGTGCATTTGTTGGCTGCATCTTAAGGTGTTGTTGAAAGTAAAAATAAATTCCTTGTTTGTAACCCTGTTTCAGTCTCTTTCAATATAAAATCTTTACTGCTGACTTACTCATAAAAGTCTCTTGTCACCATCTAATGGCGGAATAATGTAACTGATCACTATCACAAACACGTTTCTCAATACTAAATACTATGAACTACTTTTATTTATATAAAAAATTCTTTAATAAACAACAACAACAGTCATCATCAAGTTGCTAGGCAATTCAGTCGAAAGTACAAAGGCAGTGCTCTGATATAAAGTTATGTAAAATTTAACTTTAGACTTTGCCCTCACCAAAACTGCTTGCTCTGGAACACATAATAGATTAATGAGAGCAAAGACTGCCTGTTAGATTTACCCAAAATGAAGCGGAGTGATATAACGAAGCCGAGTGATACAAATGGAAACGGTGTTCCCTATCTGTCGGTCACTTCGAGTTATGGCGATGATGACATTAGGGGTCTTACTTGGGAGCCCGAATCCTCTCTGATTAAGAGAAAACACCAATAAAATGATCAAGTTGCCGCGGACCTCTCACTCCTCCCGCAGCAGCTGTTCTGGTGATTCTGCTGTGGTGTCTGATGGCGTGCCCAGCGTTTCATTCAGCGTGCTGATAGAGGATCAGATGTCAATAGCAGCATCGGGGGATGGGCTATCGTCCTCTGAGGATGAAGATTCGGCAGGGCTGCCCCCCTCGGGTGTTGTCGCCACCTCCGAATCGGACCCAGAGTTGACGGCTATGCTTTCCCGGGCCACCGTGAGCATCGGGCTGGAGGCGTGCCCACCTCCCAGTCCCAAGCACTCACTGCGGGATGATTGGTTCCTCGGCATGGGCTGTGGTTCGTGACCACTCCCTGCCCTGGTTCCTTTCTTCCCGGAGGTGCATGAGGAGCTGATGAAGTCGTGGATGGCCCCTTTTCAGCCAGAAGCCGCTCGTCTGCCTCCTCCATCCTCATAACCTCGATGGCGGGGTGGCTAGGGGGTACATTGACATTCCCCAGGTTGAGAGTGCGGTTGCGGTGCACCTGTGCCCGCAAAATGCCGCCACATGGAGGAATTGTCCTTGTCTCCCGTCCAAAGCCTGTAAGCTGACGGCGGCTTTCACCACCAAAGCTTGCAGTCATGCGGGCCAAGCCGCCTCTGCCCTGCATGCCATGGCTATCCTGCAAGTACACCAAGCCAAGGCACTGAAATTAATGCACGAGGGTAGTACCGACCCGAGGTTGATGCTGGAACTGCACTCGGCGACTGACTTTGGCCTTCCGGGCGATGAAAGTCATGGTGCGGCCCCTCGGGAAGGCGATGTCCACATTAGTGGTCAAAGAGCACCATATATAGCTCAGCCTTACTGAGATGAGTGACGTCGACAAAGTGCGCTTTCTTGATGCTCCCATTTCCCAGGCTGGGTTATTCGGCGACCCTGTCAATGACTCCGCCAGCAGTTCTTGGTAGTAAAAAGGCAGACTGTGGCTATCCAGCACATCCTGCCCCAGCGTGATCCTCCACCTGCCACCATTCCGCTGCGGGCCACGCCTCAGCCTGCCCTTCGCCGAAGGCGCCCTCCTGTAGTTGCTCCGCCCTGTGCTGAGACCATGTTGTGGCCGGTGTGTCGAGCCTTGTGCAGGAGCGTGGCGTCCTCCTGTGTCCCAGCCAGCCCCTAAGTCCCCCAGGAAGACGACGAGGCGGCCCTGACACGGACAGCCCAAAGATGCGAGGAACTGCTTCTCTTCCAGAGATAGCGAGAACAGTGCCACTCCTTCCACCGTAGGAGGGCCGGGTGGAGAATCTTTGCTGTGTTCTGTTCCAGTGTTGACCAAGTGCCAGCGGTAACCACATTCTCAAAGAAAGAACAGTTTCCTTTTCCTCTGGGCCATCAGGCTCGTGGATTGACAGTGAGCGCCACACTGCCTCCTCACTCTCGCCCACAATGCCCCCTATCGCCAGCGGCCAAAAGATTGCGGTTCGGGGATGCAATGCCTTCCCACACATCTCCGGCCGGTCCCTCCGGGGACACGGGGAATACTGCCATGATGGGCCAGAACGTGGTGCTTTCTGGTCTATCTAGCACGACTTCCCACCATTGCACCACTGTGGGTATGTCAATTGTCCTCTCAATGTCAAATTGGCTCGCACTGCCCAACCCATCCCCCTGGCTCATTCGGACAGTCTGACTCAGCTGAGCGATTCAGTTCGCCAGGCGACCCCGCAGGTTCAGTGACGTCTTCGAGACTTGGTGGCAGTCTGAGACGACCCTGTCCTGTGCAAGGAGATTGATGTCTTATTGGCGAAGGACGCAGCCGAGATGTGGTCGGGGTTTACAGCCCTTACTTCATCATGCCCAACAAAGACGGTGGCCTTCGGCCAGTCCTGGATCTATGTGTCTTGGAACTATATGGGCGTGCCGCTGCGGTATAGTTCGTGTGACCATCACACCAACGTGTTGTTGCTCATTCAGCCCCTGGATGGAACTTGCTTTCTACGGGCCAGAGTGCCCTTAGAACAAGTGTCTCGGCATGTCGTTGTCACAACGGATGCCTCCAGTGCGGGCTGGTGCACTACATGCAACAGACAGGCAGCCTCAGGGTTCTGGACAGGGCATCGACTGCTTTGGCACATCAACTGCCTCGAGTTGCTACTTGTCTTGCGGCGTTTCCGGCCACTGCTACTTGGCAAGCATCGTTTCGTACATTAACTGGCAGGGTTGTCTACGATCACATCGCATGTCACAACTTGCCCGCCATCTCCTCCTCTGGAGTCAGAGGCGGCGCAAGTCACTGCGTGCCGTCCACATCCCAGGTGAGCTCTATCGTGCAGCTGATGCGCTCTCACATTCCCCAGAGAATGGCGACTCCATGCCGACATGATCCGGCTGATCCGGAGTCGATTCGGGGAGCTCAGGTAGACCTGTTTGCCTCCCACGAGTCCTCCAACTGCCAGCTGTATTACTCCCTTACCGAGGCCCCCTCGGCACAGACACACTGGCACACAGCTGGCCTCAGGCTTTACACAAGTATGCATTTCCCCTAGGGAGGATGAGGAACAGGTCCTGCTGGTTGCACCGTATTGGCCCACCCGGACCTGGCTTTCGGATCTCATGCTCCTCATGACAGCCCCTCCCTGGCGCATTCCTATGAGGAAGGACCTTCTTTCTCAGAGGCTCGGCACCTTTGGCACCCCCGTCTAGATAACGGGACGCAGCAGACCTAAGAGATCTCCCACTGGCGGTGGAAGACACTATCACTCAGGCCAGAGCCCTCTCTACGAGAAGTGGAGTCTGTTCACGATCTGGTATTCTTCTTGCCGAGAAGACCCCTGAAGATGCACGACTGGAGTAGTGCTTTCTTTCCTGCAAGGAAGGTTGGTGCGTAGGCTGTCCCCCTCCACCTTGAAAGTGTATGTGGCTGCTATCACAGCACATCCCGATGCAGTGAACAGCCGGTCCCTGGGAAAACACAGTCTCATCGTCAGGTTCCTGAGGGGTGCCAGAACGTTAAATCCTCCTAGGCCACCCCTGGTGCCCTCCTGGGATCTCTCTAGTGTCCTGGCTGGCCTTCAGAGGGATCCCTTTGAGCCATTAGACTCAGTTGAGCTTAATTCCTGTCTGCTAAGACAGCGCTCCTGACCGCACTCCCATTAAGAGGGTCGGGGACCTCCAAGCATTCGGTGAGTGAAGAGTGCCTTGTGTTCGGGCCGGCCTACTCTCACGTTGTAGAGAGACCCCGGCCTGGATATGTGCCCAAGGTTCCCAGTCTGACACCAGGCCCAGTATTGGTGTTAGCTTGCCCAGGTCTCCGGTCAGCCCCTGTACTGGGCTAGATTTCCATAAGGCTTGATTCCCTTCGGGCGATCCCATATTTGTATTCTTCTGTGGTAAGGTTTCCCTCTCTGTGAACCTGTGTCTTCCCTTTGACAGACCATTCTGTCAGGCTCTGCTGGCTGTCGTTCCATCCCTACTCTCAGGTAGGACCTGCCTCAGAGTCCCATTCCATATGTAGTACTGCCCTAGGCCTGGGTCAGTCCATATCAGTGTCTCCACATGATACCTCCCTATGGGTAGGATGTGGCCTCCGTAGTGCCCTTCTCTGGAAGGCTCGCTTCCCATCATTACTGCCAAGTTGTAACAACAAATAGGAAAGACTGAAGCAATCTTTCATTGAAGGCTGAAATCCCTTCTGTTAAGAAATTTCGGTGGTGAAAGGAGCAGCAGCTTGGCTATCACCAGCAGCAATATACTCACCTTTGGTCCCTGTGGGTACCAAGGTCAGCAAATTTGCGCTGGGGCAGTGGAAAGGTTACGACCTTTGTGTAGCATTTGTCTGACGAGCGGCTGCTTGTCAACATTTGCAATGCCATAAGGTTGTGACGGGGTTCAGGTTGTGGTGCTTTCCATGGACCGCTAATGTCGTCATCGACGTAACTCGAAGTGACCGATAGATAGGGAATATCTCGGTTACGTACATAACCCTCATTCCCTGATGGAGGGGACGGAGACGTTATATCCCTATGCCACAACCTCGAACCATCGCTGGTTGCCAGGGACAAGTTCTCGGCTCCTCAGCATAAAACCTGATGAGTGGATGCGCCTGTTGCCTATTTATACCCGTGTGCACGGGGAGTGGCTCAGCATGCAAAATCCACTAGCCAAATTTCATTGGCATTTTCTTTTAATCAGAGAGGATTCAGCCTCCCAAGTAAGACCCCTAATGTCGTCATCGACATAACGTCTCCATTCCCTCCATCAGGGACCGAGGGTTACGTACGTAACCGAGATGTTCTGTTATCACTAGAATATCGCACCTCTGAAAAAGTCTTTCAGCCAATCAGATTCTAGAACCAGAAAGAACTTATTGATAGATAGAAATATAGATAGATAGATAATTTTCAAATATTTTTAAATAGGTTTTCATACCCCTTACCTAGTGACATGACACATAAAGAAAGGTAAAATATAAAAGACAACAAAATCTTAAATGACTTTAATTTATTCAGTTTCATTCACTCCAAAGGGTAAAGTTAACTAAGATCCACCAGCACTAGTTTATTTAAAGGAAAATGATTGCTACAACACAGCAGCCTTTAGACAAGACACAATATGCAGCATTAGTATTACTTGCTACATTCTTCCCAAGAAATAAAAATTGATAGTAATAGAGAAAGAATGCTGATATATACCATTTGACATTATTGCACAAATACTTTCACTTGTGTTTTGACATTGGTATCACAGTGTAACAGTTCAAGCTGCTCATCTGCAAAATTGACAGTGAAGGTCAAGCATGCTTACACATTGAGTATATCATGTTCTTTATCATTTCTTTTCTTTCACTTTAGTACTGCTGCATTTTATAGTCAAGCCTGACATTAGAAATACTGGCAAACAAATCATGAAATTCCCACAAAAACAACAACAACGAAACTCTCATAGCATTGTGATGAACATTATAAAATGTGTACAATAAAAAGTAAATATTTAAAATAAAACTGGCATTGAATATATTTATGTATGTCTGTCCAAGTGTTCATTCATCTCTACAAAAAAAAAGTATTGTTTCATTGCTGACAACCACATAGCACATCTTCAGAAGAATAGATTGAAATCAAAGAAATTGAGGAGAGGCAAATGCTTTTTGAAACTCATGTTAACAGACCAGCCAACACTGTAGATGTTTGGCTTTAAAGGGACAGTTCACACAAAATCATTTACTCACCCTCATGTTGTTCCAAACCTGTATGACTTGCTCTCTTCTGTGGACTTTAAAAGAATACACTACCGATGAAAAAATTGGGGTGATGGGAGATGAATGTATTTTATGAAAAATGCAGTAAAAACAATAATACTAATTCATTTAAAATGTAATTTATTTCTGTGATGGTAGAGCTGAATTTTCATTCCTCCAGTCTTCAGTGTCACATGATCCTTCAGAAATCATTCTAATATGCTGATGCTAGAAAGTTGAAAAAATAACTTATAAATAGATATAAATGATAAATTTGGAATAGATTTGTTTAATTTTTTAACATTATAAAAGTATTTACTGTCACTTTTGATACATTTAATGCATCCTTGCAGAATAAAAATATTTAACTTTATTTAAAAAAAAATCTTGATGACCCCCAAAATTTGAAATAATATATTATGAAAAATGTCTTAATTATGTTTTGTCCATGTGATTAAAGTCAATAGGGTCCAAGACTTTCAGTGTATGGACAAAAAATAATTCACATGTTTGGGACGACATGAGGGTGAGTAAATAATGGCAGAATATAAATTTTCATTGAACTATGCTTTTCACACAATTTCACATTGTACAACAATTTTTTGAACAACCTGGACACCCACTAGTGTATATATACAATTAGATTAAATATATTTAATATACATTTATATATTCTGATATTTATTTATATATTTATTCTGAAAGCTGAAGCTGCAATGCAAAAGCTGTAGTGCTTAGCTGCTGCTGCTGGTCTGAGCTGTTTTTTTCAGCAGGAACAGACTCACACATGGTGGACACAGTTAGTGGCCCCAGCTGTCCCGGTCATCACTCTCATCAGTGTTGGACTCATATCCGGATGCGATACCGGACTCTCTGAATCCTGGTGTGTCCAGTGTGCAGAGAAACTGGTTCCCTGGAGGAGAGCAACCACCTGACTGATCTTCATCCTGACCCTGTCCTGAGTCACGGTCCTGCTCCGGCTTCTTCTCCCGCTCTGAAGATTCTGAGAAGAAACAGAAGCCGTCGAGCCGAGCCAGGCTGTTTGAGAGAGGGAAGCCCTCTTGAGCGCTTGAGGGAGGATTCGTGTTGGGGTCACGTGATACAGCTGGCATGTTGGCACGCAGAGCAATTTCTAGAAGGCTGTCTTGAGATCCCACTGCAGGGAGGAAATGACATCATTGCATAGTCAGTGATAGAATAACTTAGAGGTGCCATTACTGAGCCGACTTTGTCAAGCTAAACATCTAATCAGTATGTTTGAATTGTTTTTAGCTTTATTTTTTTTTGTTTTCATTTAAATGTTTTAGTTTTGAAATGTTGTTGTATGCATTTGTCATTTTTATTTAATTTATTTTATTTTCTTAAATGTGTGTATATATATATATAGTATTTATAGAGTTTTAGCTTTTAGTTTTAATTACTTTTTCTTATTTGTAAGTCGCTTTGGATAAAAGTGTCTGCTAAATGACTAAAAGTAAAGTGAAGTAAAGTAATCACCAGAGTAAAGGCCTGTTCCCACCAAAAATGATAACTATAGAGGTATCTATAACAATAACTATATTTGCATCAACATCAGTGGACAAAAGCGTGCTGCTTTAAATGCTCAAGCTCTAAAATCTAGGGCCAGATTTACTAAACAGGGCAAATTAGGGTTAGAGCGCAATTCCATAAAAGCGCAGATGGAAGGGGAAAATTCGCCAAATGAGGGTTTGCACTGGCGCAAGCTGATAGTAAATCTGGCCCTTAATATTGGGTGGATTCTGTTTGGCTGTCAATGTTTTTGTTGTTTATAAGTTGGAAAATATTGCTCTGAAAGTGATTCCAATTATATTGTACCTCTATGTTGTATTGGTGTGAACTGGCCTAACTGTAACACCATTTTGTTAAGAATAACTCTTTAAAGGAATAATTCCTCCCAAAAGAAAATTCTGTCATTATTTACATGAGTTATTTCAAATTTAGTACATTCCACTCTACCACACATGCATTTTTTGTACATTTGCACAGTGAATTTTTTTTTACTAAATTTAATGTATATCATAAAGTAAATAAAGTAAATTATGATAAGTAAATAAATGTACAAATGTTTACAAATTATGTTTGTATTTAATCAATTAGATTAATTAATTATTAAAATTAGATTAATTATGAAAAAAAAAGATTTGTAAAGATATTACTAAAGCTGTGCATACATTAAAAAAAAAAAGTTTTACCTTTTAGATATTGTCGGTACATTTATATTGCATGTTTCAATGTATATCCAAACACAGAAAAAAACGTAAGTGTAAATGTTAATAATCAATACCTACAAATACTAATGAGTTTGACCTGGGCCTGGGACTAATTTTATGGTGCTTGTAAAGACTATTTTCTATGATTATATGGAAAGAGCAGCATGAACATTCTTCAGAATTTCTTTTTTTGTCATCAGTGGCAAAAAGAAAGTCAAGAAAATTTTGTAACAACATAAGGATGAGTAAATGACAGGATATTAATTTTAGGGATATTTAATTTCTTTAACAGGCTAAATCATTTTTCTGTCTTGCACACAGAGGAAAATCTCTTGATTGTACATGTCATGAGTCTTGAGACTTACAGGGGGAGTTTTTGTGTGGTTGAGTGCGGAGCTCCAGCTCTTGGACGTGTTTGACCAGCAGTGAGAGATGCTGCAGGAGTTCAGTGTTCTGCTGCAGGAGCTGCTGGACTCTAGCTTGAGCCTCCGTCCTGGCGCTGGTCTCCACCGACAGCTGCTGCTGCAGCAGAACCACCTACACAACAACAACTACTACTAGATTTTACACGCTCTAAAGAAAATATGAGTCATGCTTTCCTGTGAAAAATTTATATGAATTCAGTTAAATAAATATATATTGTTTATTTAACTGGCCACCAGTCCAGGGTGTCCCCTACTAATAATTTAGAAACAGTTAGGTAGATGTGCAAGTTTAGCTTGTAAGTGTGGGCTTTAATTGGACTAAATGATTAAAGAAGTCCGGTATACATCGCCAGAGAGTTATTAGGTTAGAATGTTTCTACAAACATTAAAGGTATGCATGGATGAATCATTCACAATAAGATTTATAACAGGGATTTAGAAAATAGATTCATTGACTAGAATTAATTGAATAGGTGTGTAGGGTATCAGAGCAAATCAGACAATTTATAAGATTCGATCAGATTGGTGTTAAAACAACCCAAAGAGCCAAATTCCACAAAGAGGCCCAGGACAATAAGACAACGTCATAAATATGTACACAACACACTGGCGCCACGAGTCAGAAGCAAGTCCACCAGCTAGCAGTTCTGAGCATTCTCACAGCATTAAAACACAAGAACACATTGATAATCCCAACTCAGGAAGGAGATTGTCAAATTTGGGGCAAGTAACCAAGATTAATGGTGCTGCACAGCATGACCATCACATATAAATCCATGATAGAAATCATGAGCTAAAGACTACCTCGGATTGACTTCCCCCACCTAGCAGACAAAGACCAGACTGAGATATATATACCCTATATGACTGATAAGATAACATGTTGATTTATGTATTGGGAGGAGAGACATAGCAACACCCCGAGCTAAGACAATGTCTAATTGGTCAAGACACCATTTGGGATGTGTCCAACAGCCCGGTTTAAATACTCAGGACACCATCAAATTGTGCTTTTTGCCTTAGGGCTTTTGCCACCACTGCGCTTTGCTGCTGTTTTTAGTGCTCTTTGAGCGTGCTCTGGCTTACATGCCAGCTGCTCCTCTAAAAACAATGAGGAGGTACGTCATCTAGTCTTGTCTTCTACTTTAATTTCTTTTCTTTTCCATTGAGAGTTTCGTGTTCTGAGTTAAGTTTTGCTGCAAAGCCGTGTCTCCATGGCCATCGCTAGTGGGGTGAAAGGTGGTGATGATTATAGGGGCCCATTGCTGTGGGGGCCCCCCGGGGATTTCAACCAACTGCCCGAGGCCAGCATGAAAGACACTCAGGACAGTTGACGGGCCACTGCTGCGTGACTTCACAAAAGCTTATCATTTGCACATGTTTTTTAACCTCGCCAAAACATCCAAGAGATTTTAAAGCATTCAAGCACAAGATGCGAAAAAACTCGCGCGCTGTGTTCGGTGCGCACACAGAGTGCCGCTTCTAGCACAAACACCAAGTTGACGCTCTTTCGCGTCTTCTTGTGATTGAACAAACAAATACACCTTGTCAATTTAAACATTCAAGCACAAAAATATTGTGTTAGGATGGCTATTTGTGCGAGTTTCATGTTAGAACAGGCCAGGTGAGACAAACGTCAAGACATGCAACTTTATTGCCTAAACTCCCCACTCCCCCACTAGGGGGCAGTAGTTAACCATATCACCACATCCCCCTTTCTTAGATCAATTTATTTACTCCACTTTGGCCATTCCTCTGGTTTTGAGAAGTCAAACTTTTGTGGTGGCGGTACCTGAAAACTGATCTATTTTCTCTTTTTACGCAGCTCTCTTCTCTGCACGTGATGAACGATCTCTTGTCTCTGAATTTTCACATTAAATAGCATGAATTATATGTACCACTCATGATGAAAGGGCTCTCTATGTCCCCCTATGCCATGTCTTATCCAATAAAGCCTTATTTATATTGAAAATAGAAGTATCTTGTGTTTTGTGCTTACAAGTTAATGTCTTAAACTACCAATCTTGTTACTGTGCTAGTTAATACTGTTTTCACTATATTTCGGATATATTTGCAGAGTTGATGTTATTCAGCTCGTTCGATGAATCACTGGCCGACTCAGTGATCAGCCGTAAAACAGTGATTCTGTCCAAATTCTCTATAAAATCAAAAATAATTCCCTTTGAGCTAAATTGACCTGTTTCCCTTACAGTGAATAGATAGATGGATTTTCATTATAAATACGTTTAAATATAATCTTTATCAAATTTTAAAGTGAGTATGTAATATTCATACTATAATGCTGTGATGCCTAAAATCCCTTGTAGCATTTAAAATGAATGACTTTGCATTTCAGTTTTAATTTATTTAGACACAGGATACTGTCTATTTAATGGTTATTAGCCTAAATTAAAATAATGAAAAAGATTATTGGTTTATCGTATTGGCCGGAAAAAAATAAAAAAATATATAATAATAATGACTGAACAATTCATGAAACAAAAGCAGTGCCACAGATATGTTTTATATATATATTTATTCCATGGTCTGTCTGAATACTGGATTCTGATTGGCTGGCAAGTATGCATTAAAACCATTTAATGCACAGGTAGTTCCAAGTCAGTTTAATCACCATTCCATATTAATGCACTGCTTTAACTGATGCACACAAACACACACACACACACACACAGAGGGAGAGAGAGAGTTCGGAGATCGCAGATTGCACTGCACACGCACGCACATAAACTTGTCAACGCTTCCCCGCGATTTTTTAAAATAAAATAGCCTAGATACTAGATAGCTACATTATATTATTGTTTACGAGGTGGTAAAATCGCTGTTTTTTAAGTAATTATATTATAATGCTACACGTCAATACAGGCAGCATGACAAAGTGATCAGATGTGTGATGTGACCTGTGCGGAGGCGGCTTGACTCCTCTGCTCCTGCTGCTGTAACTGTCTCTGCAGGAGCTGCACCTGATGGCTCACGGACAGAGGACTGGAGAGAGGAGATGCCAGCCTGGACGACTCCATCACCAGCACCGGCTCTTCACACACCTGCATGGAGAAATTAGAGGAGACACATGCTGTTTACTACCAACAAATTAACTTTAATCTGATCTTTGCAAAGGATCAGTACAGCCAGTTAATTCCTAGGTTCATTGATTGTAACTTTGGGATCTATTAGTACTTTTGAAACAGTGAGAATAGTCTAGTTTGTTAGTTAACAGGCATGGCAGTATTGTTTCTACCAACCTACCATATTCGAGAACGATACACCAACTATATCCTGTCTGGAGTGACCTGCGGTGCCTTATTTAAACACCTCCTTTGGTGAAAATCAAGTTTTTAACAATGTTTATATGTCTATGTGGTGTTTCTAATACGGTTAAAGACAAACCATGTTTCACCACAAATTCATCTGTCTACACCACTGCTGAGCATTTTCTCCTGTACCAAAGATAGTCTCAAAAAAATGCAGTTTGATTCCAACCATCACAAACTGAATTTGTTTACAGTTAAATATACAGTATCACTTGAAACTCAGGCCTAAAGTAAATGTATAAAATGATAAACACTCGTCTCATATGTTTGCTCCTGTGATTGGCATAGGTTTGAAAAAACATCAGCAGATTCACAGAAGCGATCAAAGAACACACAGCTTCTGCCGTATCAAAGTAAGTCATTCTGCAAACCATTACAAGTACATGGAAGCTTTAACCTCCAAAAAACTCCCCAGTGATCGAATATGTGTCAGCAGCATCGACAGCTTTCATGTCTTATTCATTAGAGTCATGCCAAAATTCTAAAAGCATCTAAAACGTGTTTCCTTAAATGCATAATTCATAAATAATCCCCATCATAACTGGAAGAAGTTTGCATGTTAATAAACAAGACTTATTTTAAAATAACCTCAATTTCGTTCATATAGTTTTTACGTTTTTAAGGAATTAAAATGATTATTATAAATTAAGTGTTATTACAGATTTCAAAGAATTACATGACACTTTAACTAAAATTGGCTGGTAATTATTCATCTTTTAGTCCTACTTGTGATCATGGCCCAATTTCTGACCTATAAACCATGTAGGATGAGCAAACTGTAGCATCTATAAATAACTCAAAACAGGCCAAGCTTGAACTATATTTAAAAAGACAACACCTGAGATATCTTCTGCCTTTCAGTTTCTTCTTAAAAAGCAAGGCTTTCTGTTGGTAAACATTTTAATCAATATAAAAAATGTCAACATAAAAAATATGTAATTGATGAGGAATAATTAAGACAAATTAATACATATTTCTTTCAGATTTTCTGCTAAACTTTACAGTCAGACAGAGGACTTACCTTTTCATCTTTCTCTAGCCCAGTGTTGCTTGATCTCTCAGCGGTGCCGCCAGCAACTGAAGTCTCGTCTTTGCTTCTCTCCTCCTCACCTTTTACAAGCCATGCTGCAAATCAGATTAATCACATCATTTAGAATAATAAAATCATCAACTGCCAGTTTCACAGGTCCAGACTGAGTCTGTTTTTAGTTCACATGACAATACAAATGATTGATTTATGTTAACAACTATTTTTTTGTCCAAGACAAGGAACCTTCCAAAACCAAATGGCCGTGAATTTAACGGTAAAAGACTGTAAAAATGCTACAGTAAAAACCTGTTAAATGGTTAACAGTAAATTCCCTTACTATATACGGTGAAAAACTGTATTGGGCATTACATGTATTGGACATAAATTTTAAGGTAGTATACCGTTTTTGGAAGTGAAAAATACTGTATAATTTACAGTGAATAACCGTAAATTGACATTCCCAGAATTCCCTGCCTTACATTTCAAATGTGATGTTTTTATGTTGAAATAACTGTTTCTTCTTAGTTTTTTCTTATAGCTGATAGACAGCTCTAGGAAGGGTTCTGGTCATCCTAAACGTCTTCCATTTAAGGATTATGGAGGCCACTGTGCTCTTAGGAACCTTAAGTGCAGCAGAAATTTTTTTGTAACCTTGGCCAGATCTGTGCCTTGCCACAATTCTGTCTCTGAGCTCTTCAGGCAGTTCCTTTGACCTCATGATTCTCATTTGCTCTGACATGCACTGTGAGCTGTAAGTTCTTATATAGACAGGTGTGTGGCTTTCCTAATCAAGTCCAATCAGTATAATCAAACACAAATGGACTCAAATGAAGGTGTAGAACCATCTCAAGGATGATCAGAAGAAATGGACAGCACCTGAGTTAAATATATGAGTGTCACAGCAAAGGGTCTGAATACTCACTTAATACCATGTGATATTTCAGTTTTTCTTTTTTAATAAATCTGCAAAAATGTCAACAATTCTGTGTTTTTCTGTCAATATGGGGTGCTGTGTGTACATTAATGAGGAAAAAAGTTAACTTAAATGATTTTAGCAAATGGCTGCAATATAACAAAGAGTGAAAAATGTAAGGGGGTCTGAATACTTTCCGTACCCACTGTATGTTATTATTTAAAAGCTGCTTGTGATGGGCTTTGGTTCATCATGTGACTTTCTCATCACCACCTGCATTTGGTGGTTATCAGGTCACCATTACAAAGGTGCAAAACAGATTTCAGTACTTAGTTAATTCAGTACATAGGTTGGTATATTAACATGATATCAGTTAATGAAATTACAGTATTTAACTGTAAATTTAAGTTAAAACCGTAAAACCTAAAACGTTGCTACCGTATTTTTTATGGTAAAATTCCAGCAACCACAGCTCCCGGTTTTTTACCGTAGATTTTACGGACCCGGTTTTTTACAGTGTAGGACTAAATAATTGCATCAAATATATTTAGATAGATCTTAATAGCTACTTTGACATCATTATTATATTTGCCTCATTGAAAATAGTGGCTTAAACATCTACTTACAAAATGTTTTTAGCTTCATCTTGCAGATCTACTATTATATTATTTTTAATTTAGCTTTTGTTTATTGTGAAATAAAGTTGTACAATGCCAAAGTGTTATATTTACCAATATTAAGTAACATTTTGGCTCATATACATCTAAAAAATATTGATTTAGAATAATTTTTTTAAATTAAAGAACATTTTTTTCTTTGTGTGAATGTGAATATTTTTAATTAATATTTCAGAATTATTTAAGGTTTGAAGCAACCCATAAATATAATTTGATAGAAGCTAATAAGTTTGGCTGTAACAAATTATTTTAGAATTGGTCGAAAGTATAATTTATTTTTCAGTTCACAGACCATATTTTCTTTTACAAAATAAATATCTAAGTTGCTTTGAAACTGTGATGAAGATAATGACAATAAAGATTTTTCATTTGTATTTTGCTGAGTTGAATTATTTTAATTTGTCTCCAAAGCAAGTGCCACACAATGAAAGTTCTCCTCACCGTCAGCATTGTCTAGACTCTGTTTATGGCACACCTCAAACGCCTGACCCACGGTCCGCACTATCCTCATGGCTTGGCTCTGAGACACAGACAGCAGATCTTTAAGCGACCAGGGTTTATTGAACATGTCAAACATGCTTTTCCACATGCAGGTAAACATTTGTAGATTTTCAGGTAAAAGCTTTACTTGGAGAGACAGAAGAATTAATTCACCTTCAACAGAGGAAAATAGATTTATAGGAATGAATGACAGATATAAGGAACAGAGAAGGAGTGAGTGAGAGAGGGAGAACATTACACCCACAAGTCAATTCCACATTATAGTGGTGCTGTCAAAGTGATGAATTAGTTCATTTCAGATGGGCCCTGGTGCTGTAAACAAAACCCAAGCCAAAGACACTCATATCAAGCAGCTTATGCCAACACCACTTTCTTTTTCTGTAGAAAACAGACAATCTGTTGGAGGTTAAAAATATCCCACGAGACAAAGTTTGCAAAATAATTATTTAGAATCGCACTGAATAGTAGTTTTTGTTCATTAAACTGAATTGTTAAAGTAATAGTTCACCAAAAAAATGAAAATTCTGTCATTAATTATTCACTCTCATGTCGTTCCAAACGTGTAAGACCTTCATTCATCTCCAGAACACAAAAGCCGAGAGCTTTCTGACCCTGCATAGACAGCAATGCAACTGACATGTTCAAGGCCCAGAAAGGTAGTAAGGACATTGTTAAAATAGTCCATGTGACATCAGTGGTTCAACCTGAATTTTATGAAGCTATGAGAATACTTTTTGTGTGCAAAGAAAACAAAAATAACTTTATTCAACAATTCTTCTCTTCCATGTCAGTTTTCGCCACAGTCTTACCACGTTTCTGTGCCTTGATCGTGGTAGTACCCTTGCTGTCTGTGCAGGGTCAGAAATCTCTTGGATTTTATAAAAAATATCTTAATTTGTTTTCCGAAGATGAACGAAGGTCTTACGGGTTTGGAACGACATGAGGGTGAGTAATTAATGAGTGCAGGGTCAGAAATCTCTTGGATTTTATAAAAAATATCTTAATTTGTTTTCCGAAGATGAACAAGGTCTTACGGGTTTGGAACGACATGAGGGTGAGTAATTAATGATAGAATTTTCATTTTTGGGTGAACAAACCCTTTAAGTTGAATTGTTGTGTTGATTTAGAGTAACTTAATTTGGTATGTGCAGGTGTGACAACACACTTAGCTCACGAGATGAGACAAAATTTTTGTCACAAAAATTAAAATAATGCAGTTGTATTTTGAAATGTTTTAACTAATCTAGGGCCGTAACTAAAGACTATTTTGGTAATCTACTGATTATTTTTGACAACTGAGTATTCTGATATTTTTTAGTAACACAAATAGACCTAAGTGAAAACAAAGGATTTTTTTTGACAAAGGTTTATGAATGATTTACGTTACAAATCTAGTGAGATTTAATGCACAGTTTTCCCAGATGAACGTTAAGCAACCCAAACTCAAAGCATATGCAGAGGAAGAGTTCAGCCCCTTTCAAACTGGTAAATTGCTGTTAAAAGATCATGTGTGAACTGTTCCTTTTCTAAAATACAGGTAAATTCGTTCTGGCAATCATATCATTCTTATGGAGATGACGTGATTACTCTGAGCTGTTTACAAAGCTCCGCTGCTTTTTAATAGCTTTTCTATGTAAATATGCTTTGACCATTGCGCCTCGCAGCTTTTTCAATGTGCCGCTCTCGAGCCCCAGGCTTCTTTTCCATTCATCAGAGCTGCGACTCTGGATAGGCTACTATTCTTCTTTTTTTGGTTTTATGGCGGGTTGCGAACCAACTTCATAGGTGCATATTCTGGATACTATTCTGCGCGTCTCTTTGGTTGAGAGTGAAAGCTGTGTACCTCTCATATCATTGGTAGGCGAACCCACGAACTCGAACGTGAAAACTACTTTTTGTTAAATGTAGGGCTTTTTTTCCACAGCCAAATGCCACATGCCGGAGATCCGGCATAGTGCCGGAAAACTTTAAGCCCTGATAACTGTACTAAAATTGTGTTTATTTCCCCCAAATAAAGGATTATGTGTTCCTTTTGGTCACTACCGAAACAATGATGACATGTTTTGGTCGTGACTGTTTCGGTAGTGAACATTTTATACTTTTGAGCCTACTTCAAAGATGCAAATCAGCACATGGATACCTAGCACAGTTCTGAACAGTGGTACGCATATAAAAAAATAAATGTTATGGAATAACACCCAAAGAAAGTGTGCTTAATTGCAGAAAAAAGGTGTTTGATAGTGACGTTCCTTACAGTACCACACAGATTTTCAGACTTTTGAAAACAATATACCTCAAAATAATGTGACCTATCTACTCACACCTTGTAGCTATAAGTCAAAGTCTGCTTTATTGTCAATTCTTCCACATGTACAGCACATACATACAGAGAATTTAAATTGCGTTACTCTCAGACCCTTGGTGCATACAGATAACACTAACAGTAGAACGTAAAAATACAGATTAAATATATATAAAATACAACTATACAAATATACAAATAAGGACATGTAAAAAAAGATTAATAAAGCAGCACAAGGCACATGGCAGATAGAGTGAAAAACTAGTGAAATAAACAAACAGTGCAGATATAATGATTGTAGTGCAAAATAACTTATTCAGTCTGATTAAAGTGACAAAAAGCTCAGAGAGCAATTCTTTATTTAAACTGTCAGTAAAGGTAGTTGAATGAGGTCAATGCTGAATGAGGTAGTGAGCAGACCAATGCTGCACAAAATGACTGGTGCAGGTCACAGTGTGTTAGTTGGAGGGGGGAGTGGAATGCAAATGCAAAGGGCTTTGTGGGTAAGACGGGTTCGGATCCATAAATGTCCTGGAGGGAGGGGAGAGAGACACCAACGATCTTCTCAACTGCTCTCACTATGCGTTGAAGGGTCTTGCGGCAGGACACGTTGTAGGCGCCATACCACACAGTGATGTAGCTCATCAGAATTCTCTCAATGGTGCCTCTGTAGAAGGTGCACATGATGGGGGCCGGGGCTTTGGCTCTTCTCAGTTTGCGGAGGAAGTAGACACGCTGCTGTGCTTTCTTGGCCAGTGCTGCGGTGTTGTCAGTCCAGGAGAGGTCCTCTGTGATGTGCACACCCAGGAACTTTGTGCTGCTCACTCTCTCCACAGTCGCACCATTGACGGTCAGAGGAGCATGCTGAGTGCGCACTCTCCTGAAGTCAACAACAATCTCCTTCGTCTTCTCCACATTCAGAGAGAGATTGTTGTCACTGCACCACCCGGCCAGGCGGCTCACCTCGCTCCTGTAGTTTGTCTCATCTCTGTTGCTAATGAGACCCACTACAGTCATGTCATCCGCAAACTTAATGAAGAGGTTGGAGTTGTGTGACGGTGTGCAGTCGTGGGTCAGCAGAGTGAAGAGGGAGGGGCTCAGCACACATCCTTGGGGGGCCCCAGTGTTCAGTGTGATGGTGCTGGATGTGTTACTACCGACCCGTACTGCCTGAGGTCTTCCAGTCAGAAAGTCCAACAGCCAGTTGCACAGCGAAGTGTTGAGCCCCAGCTGGACCAGTTTGTGAATGAGCTGTTGAGGGATGATTGTGTTGA